GAAAGAGTTAGATTGTACTGAGTGAAATACATGAACAATTTTCTTAAATATAAAGCTCGATCTAATGTTACACATCTTAAAATATATTGTCCGTAAACTAGACAACCTCACATAGTCCTTACTTTGATAAGTAAACTTAACATGAAAAAAACCCTAATTTTTTTTCTTATTCAAACTCAAACTTAAATCCCAAATCAAGGTCCTTTTTTGAGGTACCATTCTGTTTCAACAATATTTACAAAACAATGTCATTGGCTTAATTTAACACCTATGTTTTTTTATTTTAAGTTGTATTCCACGTTTTTTTCCTTTTAATACAACATCAAAATATTTCTTTTAAAAAATCTTCCCCTTTTTGCTGTAACTAAACATTTATAACCGATCATATTATGTATGCAATCAAAACAGTACATTAAGGGTCCGATTGGAAATGGCTATAGCTTTAATTTTTTTGCTATAGAAAAAAAGCTGTAGATTTTTTGCTATAGAAAAAAATCTGTAGATTTTTTGCTGGGTTTTAAATTTTATTTCTCTAAAATTTTATGGAAAGCTTTCAAAAATTGATGTGGATATTTGGCTCTGCAGAGCACTTATACGGCTGTAGGTTATTTCTAGAGCTATGATTTAATTTTTTTTATTAAAGCTTGATTGCTTTCAATTTAGTGATTTAGAAATAAATGAGGCTGTAGAGAACACCTACAGCAACTACCAATCACCCCCTAAATTAAAACCATCGATGGTAAAGCTCTATTCATTGTTATTCAAAACTTTATATTGAATTAAAACCATCGATGTCTTTGAAAAACAGTGTATTCAAGAAACTGCCCGTCCATTTAATACATCAAGCTTCAACGTTTGAACTAGACATTCTTTGATAGTTAAATATACATTCAGTTCATAGTGAATTGCCAGTTCATCGATAGTTAAGCTAGGCATAAATTATTGCCAATTCATCAATGGTAAAGCTCTATTCAAAAAAATGTATTGTATTTAGCTTAAGTTGACATACTAGACCATCACTGCTGTGATAAAAAAAATAAAGTTGTAACCCCTAACCCCCAAATGCAAGTATTTATAATTTATTGAATAATTAATTAAAATTAACCCAGCAACCTAATTTTGGATAATCACTAAACAAAAAAATTATCTTCAATATTTTCAAGGCTGATATTTAGGCAAATATTATATATGTTCTGAAGTTCCATAAATTCAAGCAAAAAACAAAAATTCGCTATTTTTATATTTACCAATAATCTAAATCATAAATACTCAGACAATCCTATTGCCACATATCTTCTGCAATATCAATAACATAAAGTCAATTAAAAAACTAAATAGCTTAATAACGAGATCTTCTCCAACTATATTAAATTCGAATATTCTAAAAACTTGGCCTATTGTTTCTTATAANGTTCCTGTACAGGTAATAGAAGATATCATTAATAATGTGCACCTATAAATCTATATGTAATACTAAAGTTACTATAATCTAGAATATAATAGAAATTTATTATACAAACCAAAATAAATAAGACCAATAAGGATCAGACACAACCAACATCATTATCATCATAATAATTAGAACATAGTGTAAATTTTAATAACAAATCAATTTAGTTATATAGAGAAGGAATAACAAAGTCCAAAATTCATAATTATTTTTGTTTTATTGATTTCCATTATCATTTAAGTATATTTCTATTATATTCATTTTAATCTTATTTAATAAACATAATTATGAAAGATAAAATTTAAATATTTTAATACCAATAAAAATATGTATTAAAAATTAACATGGTTAAATAAGTAAATTTATAAATAAGATTCATAATTTCAATTGCCCATACCGTATATATATATTCAACGTTGAGCTAAAATACATCAATATATTAATTTCTCTGTTAGTGATGTAAAATATCAAAAAGTTTAACAGTATTTAAATTGATGTTCTAACCAAAATACACCTTCCACATTAAATTGAGATATAATGTAATTAAAATCATATCTTGATCGGAAAATATAATGTAATAGAATTAATCTTACAACTACTGAACTTTCCGCACATCGAATATAATGTAATTACTTAATATTTAATTAAACAAGTTTTTTGCGTTTCCAAATCCGGGTCAAAATAAAAATATTAACGTCAATATATCTGAACCCGGATACTCATGCCTATATATATTTGCAAATGCATAAATTTAAAGCAAAACGGTTGTCCCGCCCTCTTTAAGGGCGGGTCAAAATCTAGTTTACTTTTAAAATTGTATTATCTTTAATCTAGGATTTAATCCTCTAATTTCTAAAGACTAAGTCTTACTGGGCTAAACCCAACATAAATCTGTTTTATATTAACAATTTTTCCTAATTTTAATGGTTAATATAAGTTTCAAATTTATATGTTTTTTAATAGTTGTTTGAGTGTCAGGTGTGTGGTTCATGTATTGCCACATTGAGATTCATCTGAGTTGGAGACTGACGATGTTCCAAAGCAGAAACTCCCTCCTCCACCCTCAGATTTTCCTAAATGTTGACTCTGACCAATCCAACGCTCACTTTCACTTTCTTGGAATTCTATTAGCTTAAATTGTGCTATATGTGTTTCTTGTTTTCCTTTTTACATTTCCTGTTTACTTTTTGAATTCTGAGTTTTATATGCTTTTTTCTAGCACAAAAAGAGTTTTTGTATGCTTTCTCCTTTCTTGTTAAAACTTGTTTTGCCGCAAATTACATAATTTTGGTAATCAACGAAAAAAACATTAGCAAAAGTCTGCAACGGTCTGTGATCGTTTTTCATTCTGTTTAAACAAAACATATTTATGATAAATGACAAAAGATAGAGTCGTTGACAACTTTTCATTGGATTCTCTATATAATAATCACAACTTTTTCCTTCTAATAAAGTGAAAAGATAGATTTTATCTCTTATTCAAAAAAAGAAGAAGATTTTATCACATTATCTATATAATGCCGACTAGTTTTCTAAGTAACTAACTGTTTATATACACAATATAGTAATTTCATCCTAAGTTCTTATAAAATAAAATGTGAAAATATGTTGGTCTAAATACTTTTCATTTGCCAAGAGGGAATCTTTCTTCAATCAAAGAGACAAAAACCCAGAAAGCAAACAGAAAATACTGCCACCAAATACTGCCATAAAATGCAAAAAGGAATAAATTAATATTTAATAAAGCTAAGAAAAAACAAAATATGAGTAGAGTTCCAGACATTATTGGTGTTTGCAAGATCTACAGCATCATAGCATTATATTGATGTATTCTTATCATCATCATCACATTGACATTAGGTGGACTCCATTATCGTTTCATAATCAATAATGGATTAAAAGAAAAAAGCTTCAGATCTTTGACGGGATGAAAAAGTATCTTGAATCAATATAATTAAAGTAACCAACAGATCTAATATATCACATAAAATGTAAGATTGTGTGTTATGTCATTTCAGATTTGTTTTTTTGCAGAGACAATGAAATTAACTATTTATTGCAAATCCTAACAAAAACACTGTACTACATGATACACCAATGACTAGTTAATTAATACTCCAAATATTGTAGTTTTAATATTTTCTTAGTTATCAAAAGACATTAACTAATCCCGATCTGAATAGAAGCACTTGCACTGAAAATACATATACAAATGTCTATGATTGTGTATGTGTAGCATATGGAAGCTAGGTAATTAAAGGAAGAAATGTTATGTAACGGAACAATGAGCATTGAAACCCTAAGTTTTAAAAACAAAATCTCTTCTTACAATGTACTTGTATGGAATAATCAAGCTGATCTAATTACAAGGAACAAAAAAAGGAAGATCTAATTAAGAATCTCCATGTTTATGCCAACAAACAAGCATAGCCACACACCTTCTCATAATGTAAAACCTTGCCTTTTGTTCTTTAGCCAAGCTGCTGTATTTTTGAGTGATAGAAGAAGATGGAGAGGAAGACGATTTTCTCTCTTTTCTTGAGAAGCTTCTAGAGATGGAAGATGAAGAAGACGAGGATGAAGGAACAGAGCATTTAGTAGAGGAACTCCTTGCGAATAGTGGAGATTTAGCTGATGAAACACTTGTTGAGAAGCTTCTAGAGAACTTTGACTTAGAGGAAGAAGATGATGTTGTCTCTTTCTTCGACAGCTTCCACTTCTCCTCCATGAATAATGTGTGCTTCTCCAAAGATATTTGGACTCAGATTCAGATGAATTGTTCTAAGTTCTTTGTGTGTGTGTTTCTAATGTATTTGATTATGAGTTTGTGGTGATTCAACTCAAAAAGAGAGTGATTCAGAGAGAGAAAAGAGAGAAGTATAGAGAGAGTGATAGTGTCACTTTGCTTATATAGGATGCTTCATTTTATACTTGAAATAAATGGAGATAGCAAATGGCAAACGAATTAATGGCAAAAATCAAAATTATTTTAAACCAATGATTATTTCTTTTCCGTCGACTTAGGAACTATTTTTCTTTTGGCGTCGAGTTATTAGGAACTATTTAACATCTACTTGTTTTAATTTATCTAAACTTATTATGCTACTGTAGACTTACATGTTATATTTTGGTTCAATACCCTTGTAATTTCTAATAAAAATCAGTAGAATTACTTTGACTAGCTTGTAAGTATACCAACATGCCACCCACATTAGGATTTACAGTTAATAGTTTTCAAAGAGTAAAATAAGTGGGTTCTAAAGAGTTTTTCATCCTACAAAACTAAATATCAAAAGAGGTGTGCACTAACTGCACTTATCATCCTGTGAAATAAATTGTGGGAACATCTGTTACAATTCTTCACCAACTGTTTCAAGAAAATTATGAATATATTTTCTTTTTTCCTTTCTTCATATAACAATATATAATTCGGATAAGTTGATGGACTAACCAACTCAATATTACATAATCTATATAGAAAATAAAGATCTTCAAGTTTTTTTCATGTTTACCCCGTAGTTCACAATTAACTGATCTCATTAATATTTCTAATCGTAAATTTTGCTTTAAGCTGATACTCAACTATTTCCACACTTAATTTCTGGCAAATACACTATCAGATTACCATACCAAAAGGTCATAAACAATAACTATTTAAAGATTAGGAATATATGTAGAAAAGTAAGTCTACTGCTACGATATTCTCGTTTCACTATGAACAAATACTATTAGTAAAAACTGAAAATCTGGCACAAAAAAAACACAAAATATAATAAAAATGAAAAACAACGATACAAACTCTTGCTTATATTTTGTCAAGTAGGTTTTCGTCTTTTAAAGGTTCAGGCAATTGTATATATGTATCAAGTATTGGATGGTTTCTGCCTTTCTGGACACCACCATTTTTAAAACAGTAGAAGATTTTCTTGATACCAGAAAATGTAGACACTTTTATATAAGGGACCTGAGGAATAGTTGATGGAGCTTTTGGGAGTTCAAAGCCTTGCCTGGAAAGATAATGAATATTTTTTTTACGATTTTGAGTAATTTAAACTCTCAAGTAACGATTAATCGTAATACAAACTCTTAACTAAAGATTTTGTGAAATTTAATTGAGAGTTTAAATTACTAAAAATTCTTCTTTTTATGACCATCTTTGCATTTTCTTTTTCTTTTTAAATATAACAATTAATTCTTTTAATTTGTGTCAGTCATACAGAATCCACAAGGTTTGGGGATGGGGGCCTTTTACTTAACGTTGACGATTTAGTTATGCTTTGATTAATGAAAGTTGTATTAACTAGATAACGTATGCTTGCAAAGCGAATTATTACAAAGCAAACGTGGCAAATTCCGATTGGGTGGAGCTTCTAGAACTCGAGGTCTTATTCTTACCATCACAAGATCTACACATTGTCGAAATCGTTTTCTTGAGATCTGCCATTAATGTTGGCGGAACCAATGTCGTACGTTTATATGCATAATACATATATATTAATACATATAAAACATCTATACGTATATGCACAATCATAATCTTCATTTAAGCTCGTCACATGAGAGAGATCCCAACATGGAGCACGATAAAATTTATCGGTATTGCTTTCATATCAGTGTGTAATGTACGCATATTTTATATATTAAAGTAATTCATTGATTGAAATAAAATATTTTATCTATGCGGATCACTATATATAATTGCCAGTGGGACAGGAATCTCAAGAAATAACGTGGAGGAGAAATATAATAATTAAAAAAAAAAAACTGGTTACCAGCAGAGCTAAACTTCCTCGAAATGAATGTGTTACACAAATGAAAATTTAGAGATGATCAAAAGGCGACTAGAGTAAAAGAGCTTGGCTATTCGGCTTGGCATGTTTTATCATGCTTGTCTTTTAGTAAAACTATTACATTTTGAAAGATCTAGCTTCTGGTATTAATCAACTAACCAATATAAACGATAGAAAGGATTATTTTCATATATAACAACAACTAATAAGTGTTGTCTGCAAGTGTAATGTTATTTCTTCAAAATGTTGGAAACTAATTTTTTATTCAATGTAAGGTTATTATTTTAAAAATGTTGGAAATTATTTTTTTATTCAAATTAAGAAGGTATATTATTGTGTGGGGGTTGGAGAGGAGGGGCAAAGAGGGATGGAGAGATAGGTGTTTCCGTATGATCGTGATTTTTAAAAGAGAGGATGAATAAACAGGTTTGGTCTAATAATATTCTACATGTTTTCACTTATGTCCTGAAACCAGCCTGGATTTACGCAAAACGAACCCACATTACATTGTCTCCATTTTTCGTTTTGAATTCTATACTACTCCACATATTTCAAATCTGTTTTTGCCAAAGCCTTAGACACCCTGAAAAGCAACTGCAGTTTGATCTACCTATCACTCAACTAGTTATTCAATTATTTTGACGGATATTCAAAATCGTGTGAACGAACAAACCTTTTGTTAACACTAACACCTCGACACATGTACATTATTAATTTTGTGGTTTTCATTTGCATTACTAATTAACATACCAAGCAAAATAAAAGTGCATTTATCAATCTTTTTAATTAATAGGTTAGTTTGAATTGTTGAAGTGAAATTTTATATTTGTGTTTTATTAAAAAATAAATGCATAAAAATCACAGTTTCAAATTTAAATGTTGATAATATTATTAATTAATTTTCTTATAGAGCTTATAATTTTTTTTCAGAATATATTTTCTTCAAAATATTTAAAAATTATGACTTCGCTCAAAATATGCATTCATACAACACGAACAAAAAATTTGGGGCATTATCATAATTTTCTCGAAACAATTGCCTAAAAATCCGTGAAGTGGAAGTGAATCAGTTACCTTCAAATATAAACTCCTCATGGCTCGTGAGATATGATGAACCTATATCGCTGATGGCCTTTATCCATGCAGTTTGTGTGGACAATTTGATCAGGTTCCGGTCTAATCATTGATCTGATGTCCCTATGGAAGTGGATCATCAATTTTGTTCGTTGTTTTGAACCACTAACAATTCAGTTATTAATTTCTCAAAAAAAAAAATCAGTTATTAAGTTTCAAAAAAAAAAATCAGTTAGTATTAGTTATTTAAACGTTATGGTATGGACCACTTCATTTATGGTATCAACAACTTTATAACAATAAAATTATTAATGGAATACGTGTTACAGTTTCTCCCTTTTAACTTAAGAGCTACCCATTTGTAATGCCGTCCGTTCATAGTTTAAGACTGGATTTCAAAAAAAGAAAAGACTGGATTTCAGTGAACAAAATAACCAGTTGATTAAATAAAATATTTTCAAGTATGCATATATATATATTTCAAAACCTTAGAACAAAAATATAGAATATAGTTGAGAGTATTTTGAGATTATTCGAGTAAACTCCGACAAAAAAAAATAGAAGAAGAACTCACAATTAAATATAAAAAAAACAAGAAAGAAAAGATAGAAAATTTGTGGTTTTAGATTTTTTTTTTTATAAAAACTGATGACAATCTCAGTTTACATGTGGAGTTAACCATTGACTGAAATACTCAATGAAAAATAAAATGCAATTACAGAATTGTTTTTGAGATACTCAAATAAGTTTTGAGCGTTAAAGTTGTGCTTATTAGTGTGCTTTAAACAAAGCCAAAACAGCATCTCGCTGATTCACAGAGCTGACCTACCATGTGGTTTCGTTACTTCCAAATAAAGTATTAGTTTGTTGTAAGTTTAGACATAAAACCTGTTTTTATTTTTGGGGTTTAAAACAAATTTGTTTTTTTTTTAACACTGATGCGAACAATTATTTGAGGCGATACACAATTATTGAATGTTACAAGGAAAGAAAGAAGATATCATTAGACATCCAAAACAAATTTGTTTGTTCTCAAAACCAAAAGCATTAGCATCAATGCTCATATATGTACGTTAATAACGCACACACTGGTCACTTACGTCTCCAACTCTTCATTATCTTAAGACAGCTTGGCTTAATGCTCATTTGACTGGTCAAACATTTAAAAATTCCCAATTAATTTATTTCAATATGTTTTGTCAGTAACTTACATTTGATTTGACCATTAACATTACAAAATACAGACCAGTACATAATTTTCTTTTCTTTTTTTATTAGCCATATGACCATATCATATGATACTAGGAACACTTCAAATGTTAATAACTTTTGAATGAATTTTCGTAAAATTAATAGTTTCATAAATAAATATTAATATATATATATATATATATATATATATATATATTGAGAATTCCAAAATTATAATTTTTCATTAGGGATGTTTTAATAATTAATAAACTCTTTTCAAAAAACAAAAAGAACCATCTGTATTACAAAGCTATGGAAATACTCATAAGTATCACTAAATATGCCAAATTTTTGCATTAAGTCATTTAATATTGAATTTTAATAGGATTTCCTCCGTCTTATTTTACATGTCATTGTAGAAAAAAATATTGTTTTAAAATAAATGTTGTTTTATAGTTTTGATGCAGAATTTATTAACTTTATATATTTTCTATTTTATTATTGATTGAAATGTGGTTAGGTGTATAGAAAATTGTGTTTTCATTTTGAAAATAATAAAATTAAATTTTTTCTTAATCTGTGTGTAAAAACCTAAAACAACAACTAAAAAGAAATGGAAAGAGTATTTCAAAACCAAAAATAACAGTTTAATTCTGTCTAAACATAATTTGTT